ACTATTAAATTGCTATGTATAAGAAATTTAAAACATCCGTATTATAAGGTAATAATATCTTTTACGGCAGAATTGCCAGGTATCTTTGTTTAAATCTGAATCCTGATACCAACATACATACGTTCCCACGCTGGAAAAAAGTGCCTCGCAAGGTTTCTATTACAGGAGAAACGGAATATGACCTTCACAAGTCATACCACGAACAAAGGACACTTTCTCCTGACTTTCATCTACCCGCTATGAGCCACCATCTTGCATTTTTCAGACAGGTCATCGTGTCAACTGTTTTAATGTTCATGCCTGCTAAAATAACATAATTATGTACATCAAAATTTTCAAAAATATCATTAATCTTGGCGGAAGAGTCTCCTGACTGTCGACCTTATGTTTGGAGAACTACTAATCATTGCAAAGAAAAAGGCCAGTTGTCTCATTATAATGAAAAGTAGACAACCATTAGGTCCATAAAAACTAAAAAGTTGTCAGAAATGTAAATTGTGCCACATGTTTGAAACTGCCCTCACCTTTTGAATTACTTTGGTTTTCATTTTTTTATGTACGTATGTGTTATTTTTCAATTAAATTTTGCCACGCTTTTGAAACTGTCCTCACCTTTTGAATTTCCTATAATTCTGTACCATTTGTTTGAAAAATTTCATGTACATGTTATTTTTTCAAATAAACGATTGTCTTGGCTATACTTAAATTTGATTTGCTGCTAATTATGTATATATCTGTTTTTTAATTGATTTACAAATATACATATATTTATACTGATGCATGAATATTTCAATCATGGAGATGCATATGCTTTTACAGCACTTTGGTATAAGTTGTTTGAAAAATTAAACCCTATCATTAATTCTCTACTGATATCTCATTTTGAGATAGTAACATTTCAATCTTTCAATCTGTTAGTTTTATATTGAAAAAGTGGACTAATACATATAAAATGTATGATTTAGGAACACATTTTATCACTTGTCTAGTCACTTTATGTCACACAATTCAGTCATCCTGAGTTCATATGGATTCATTTCAGAATACGATTCATATACTATGAATATTCATCATACACCTGGCAAAAATTAAATCAATCAAATTTTGCCTGATGACCACTTCTAGAGATATATCGGACCTGCTGACCAGAGTCCGGAATATAGAGCCATGTCGGGTCACATCGCCCCTTGACTCAGGACACACGGGGATACCTTCTGCCCTCCGATTGACCACATTGTCTCTTTGTTTATCACAACATCAAACAGGAATGGTCGGAAAAAAGGGAGTTTTATGTTGATGTGTTTCGAATATCTAAACAGAACTACGATTTTTCTGCAACAAATGTCAAGAACCGCTTTTAATGATTTTGGAAAATATGTTTGATCAACATTTAAGAAGGAGAAAATATCAATGTTTCTGGAGAACTTTGAAAGAATTCTGTTCAAAAGAAAAAAAATCATATTTTCCTATGGACGAGAGTTAAAATTACCCAAATATTTTAAGTGTAGCAAATCAGAATCGCAGATTTCGTACTGAGATAATATTTCTTTTTATTTAGCAGGCTTATTCTTTTAATCATATGAGGCACAACTTGTTAAAAATCTTTTACATTAAAAGAAAAAAACAACACTTGCAGTGACCCTCAGCTCAACATTTAGATACATAGACGACGTATTGCCAACTCACAATTATGGTTATTTCAATCCTTATTTTAATATACCTTGGTGAGCCTGAAATAAATGACACCAATAAGTCTGATACATGTTTCGTTTTTTGATATTTACTAGAAACGTTAATGAGGATCTGAAAACTCAACAAAACGTGATGACTTTATTTTTTCAATCGTCAACTTCCCTTTCTAATGCAGCAGTATACCTTCATCACCTGCGAACGGGGTTTATATCTCTCAGTTCATTCGATACTATAGCACATGTTCTACGTATGTACAGTTTCTTACACAAGGTTAGTTATTCACAAGCAAGTTGATGAACAACGGGAATCAACAGTCTCGTTTAAAAAACCTCATTTCATGAGGTCTATCGTCGATACAATGACATTGTCAGCAAATACAATCTATCATTGAGTCAAATGCATTTTTCATACTTACTATTTGACCATATTCCATTAATTCAAAATTATGACAAGGAAATACGGTGTATTTTACAGGAAGGCATGAGATGTTCACTTCTCCAAGCCATCTGACCCAAATTCTGGTGTATTAAATGTCCGTTTTTGCTCTGCTCTTGACTTGTGTTATTTGAAAGAACTTTTGAGCTTGTACAATGCTCAATTTTTTCTTATATTTCATCACAATGATATGAACATAACAAAGTTTCAATGAGATCAAAAGAAGCTCAGAAAATAAACTAACTAAACAAGTGAATTACAAACATGTAACAGCAAAACAGAGAGAAAACCTGATTTGAAAAACGAACAAAACGAATTGTTTTTTTTTATTTCCCAAAATGTTTGATTGCAATTAATTGTGAATTCTGCTGTGAATTCAATACATACATGTAATAATGTCCAGACTGCAAATAAGGAAGTCTAAATACGTTATAAACAATATGTTTAAATGCAGATAAGTTGGTTGTTTTAAAACGTTTGTATTTTCAGATATTTTTAACAAAATAATTAAGGGTAGAAAAAAAGAAATGTTAAAAGGCTTTCATCAATTCAGTTTGAATTAGCTGTTCACAAATTTTGCATTCGTTATAGTGACGTCCACAGTAAATACAAGCTAATTTTTGGTCGTATTTTGTCTGACAAGTTTGGTATTACTCGTTAGATAATTGTTTTCTCCCTTAATTAAACAAAAGAATATTCCATCTTCCTGGAACATTTTTCGATATATAGGACAAACAGGGGGAGTGACCGGTCCAAGAGGATGCCTTCTCCTCCTTGGCACTTGATCCCACCTCAGGTGTTTCCAGAAATCTGTGTTACGATTTGTTTTGTTTACAGATTTTATGTGATTGTTCACTGTTTGTCATCTTCTGTTTCACAATTCATACATCTAGACAGTAATTGTGGTATTGTTTTTCATGTAATAGCATGTGATTTCTTTATTTAGAGACAATGAAGTATTTCATGAAAGAAAATTTGGGGGAAAAGGGAAACTAAAACAACTTTTTATTACATTTTATTAAGGAAAATTAAAAAGTCTTATCTACAATGATGTTGTTGAAAATGCCTTTTCCTACGCTAAATAAAGTACCTGTCCCGTTTTAACTTTGCACAGACCCAATCATGGTATTAAATTTTATCATTTATTCTATTAATAACCTTCTTGTCCTATCCATTTAATGATGAACATTGGAAGAAGCTAAAAATAGCATTTTGTTTCATTCTAAAATGAAGATGGACCTACAAATTTATGAACAGTATTTTCAGACTAAACTGGAAAAAAAGTAATGAATTTGTCATTTCTTCCCATATTTTGTGTATTCATTTTTCCTTAAAATTGAAGTTCGAAAGCTAAAGTCCGGGTTTCTCACAAGAACGTCGCCATAAAGGAGGTGCCATTATATATATGTAGGTCTAAAGGTAACGACGGAGTAAATCAGTGATCAGATAACTCTCGGCGTTAACGATCTATGTAATTGTAGTTTAATTCTGTATGAAAGTTATCAGATATTAACATCAGCGCGTATAGAATATCCTCTTGTGTAATGGCCACGATAGAAAGGTACATCAATTTGTTCGGTGAGAAAAAAGTAAGATACCACAGTAAGTCGTTTTTTGATCTATTATTCCTTTAATGTCTGATGAGAGTGGTAAAGTTATGTTTATGCATGGTCTACTTTGGTACAACATATAACTTAACCCCCTTCCTTCCTCACTCTATATTTGTGTGTGCAACGGATATGCAACATTCATATCGCAAGCTATTTGAAACTGGAATGACTTTTAAACGAGACTCGAGTTGTTACATGTAATAAGTGAGAAGAAAAATATATAAGTATTTTACTATCTACATAATATGTTGATTTATATTATGGAACACTGTCATTAGTCATAACAGTTTGTCATTATGAAAATGAAAACTTATGAAGAAGATGTATGACGACATAACCAATTAACCTCCGTTTTCGACCACTGTGATTTTTTAAATATACATTTTTGACATTTTATTAGGAACATTATATTAATTATATGCAAATACTGGCATAGCTAACAAAAACACATTTAGATAAAAAAAAAATGGACAGGATATATTATGCTAGTTCTTCTGATTATAAGTACTGTAACAAATTATATGATTGTTTCAAACCAAATTTTACGTTTATATATCTTCCATTCGACTCTAACAGAAACACCCTCAGCTTTCTAGTCTCGTTCAATAAGTCCCTTGTTAGCTTTTTGAAATTGACGGAGAACGTATGTATTTTCAAGTAAAGGAGGCCTTTACACGACAAGGAGATATTTATCATGATTGCTGATATCACTTGACTCCCTCATTATTTCACAGAAAGAGGTGCTATATTCGTCAAAGTTGACACTTGATTTTTTACATTCCTATTCTATATCTGTTATTTTAAATCACAAGTCGATATGGGCCTGAAAGAATTCATTTAAACCCAAAGATTCAAATTACAGACCTTCATCTATGTGTAAATTTTTTTATGACAAAAAGCGCACGGTTGACAATTACTGCGAAGACGAGAGAACGTATTTCTATAAATCTCACATATGGAATTCTCTTGTACCTTTCCCTCAAAAGTAATTGATGTCATGTAACATTGAATTTCACAGTGGTCTTGCCCTTTAAAAGGAACCAGTGGTATAAAAAGAGCTGGTCTCCGACATCGTTTTAATTTTGTTTTCATGTTTCTATCTAGTTTTATATTGTTTTATTACTCCAACTTGTTGCAAGCTGTGAGTTAATTTATCCGTACCAGATAGTATAGAATGTACAGTGACCAAAAGGTCTCTCTTTAAATGTCATTTTCATTCCGAATGAAATACTTTTTAGTGAATTTCATTTACAATTCATAAAATTTATGTTTCAACATGTTTTATTGAATGCATTCAATGGTACACTTTTATTAGCTATTCAAAAAGAAAAGAGTTCCAAAGTAAATACTTGTGGCACTTAAACTCGAGCACTATATATTATCACAGATATGCATCAGGAATATTTAATAAAAAGCTCTAGTCTAATTAACGATTAATGTACAGTATTAAGCACTCTCTTTCTTAAAAGATTTTTTTTTCCGAATAAACACTAAATTAAACATAAATAACGATGCATAGAATGCATATGAATATATTTTACTAAGGTAATTGTAAATTGTCAAATCACAATTTAATGTGGGAATTGGGAATTTCGTTGCACAAGTTTTATTTTTCATCCACTTATCTCACCAAGGTCGCCACATTGGGTCTGTTTTATCCTCAAACCCTTGTGTCAAACGAGATTCGGTAGCGGGAACAACTCCTGGAAGCTTTAGAAGTGATCCTTCATTTGCTATCTTGGTGTTGTTATTGTCAGAAAGTACATCAATCTTTGGAGTGTGGTTGACTTGTACTTTGGCAGTGGTAACAGGAAATGCTGTGAATTGTGCTGATTGTTCACGTTGCTGAACAGCAATTCCATTTCCAGATGAAACTAAGCTCACAGGCAGACCAACAGTGTTTGGGGAAGAGCTTACAAAAGTTGTATTTTGAAAGACTGATGGAAGAACACCATGTGACGTGGTTATCCCCCCTGAGTAAGCAATAGGTACTGTTTGATGAGTTTGGATAACACTATTTGACGAATGGCTGATTTGAAGGCCACCCTGGGGTTGTAAGACAGGGATCACATAGTTTGGAATTGTTCCATACTGTACCATATTGGCAGCTGGAATGATAAAGGCAACGTCTCCGGAGGACATCTGAGTTGGAATGGTGTGCACTCCTTGAATTATTTTTGAAGGAATACTTTGTTCACTACATATCACGTTTTCTGATTTGTGCGCTGTAATGTTCCCATTTACCTCCAAACTTTTAACATTTCGAAGGACCTCTGTCGATACATTAGACGACATAGTAACATTTCCGTTCACCTTCAAAACATGTCCTTGATTAGATTGGACAGCATTTGAATTGTTTGAATTAAGTTTGGGATATGGGCCTTGGTTTGAAATTTTCGCTAAAGGAGGAGATTTTGGTTCCTTTGGTTCCTCCGGTTGCTCAGTGTTCGTTGTTATATTTGCAAGATGATTCAATAGTCGGGCTCTGAAATCAGTATTTAGTCCATCCATGTTTGCAAGATATTTGCTTACTTCACTTGCACACTCATTAAAGCCGAGTCGGTATTTATTTATCATTGCAGGGTCTGTGGCACTCAGAGCTTAAAAAAGAGTTAATAGTAAAATTACAATAATGATAAATCAAGATAATAAATAAATTCATTAGATTTCAAAATGGATTGAATCTCAGTACCGGAAAACTGTTGTCTTTGTAACTGTCGTAGGTGGCGAACTGTCATTTCCAGGATATCAGCTTTCTCCATTTTATTTTGACGAGTACCCTTAAATAAATTAATAATTATTTATTAATTATTAATTATTATTACTATTATTAATTAAATAGTAAATAAAATGGGAAAATAATTTTTTTTTATTATTTAGAAAAAGATATGGTTTGTATTAACATAACTGAAAAAATATAAAATATTTACACACAGTAGTAAAGATAATAATCTTTCAATAATGTAAGCACTGAGAAACAAAAAAAGTCCTATATTTAAAACAGGGATAAACATGTTTCATTTCCTTAGATATTTAATGAAAAATAAAAATCCAGTTTAAACCGTACGATTTACTAACAGTCTTTGTTCTTATTTCATCTGAATTTTAAATACGTAGAAGTCTTTCTTTTCGGACGACTGTGGAGAACATTGATTTTTCACTTTATCAGGTGGAGTGAAACAGAAGGGCCTGTAGCTATTACAGCAAGCGGAACGTAGCGAGAGATGACACTCAGGTAAACATCCAGATCGTGGGAAAGTTTTTAAAGACGACCCAAAGAATTTTTTGACAATTTTTTTTTTATTTTTCAAAAACGTAAATTTCATACAATCTTCTGATTTGAATAAAAAAAATTCGATTGACTTGTTATTTAATTCTTTTTAAGTCATTAATTTTTGAAGGAAGACAAAGTAATGTGTTTTTTTAAACAGATTTAATGTTATGTCGTATTTATTTTTAACTTCCTTATGATTTTAAAAAACTTGTAAACTATAACATGAAACTATTCCATATGGAAGAAAAACCACTACCTCAGCTTTCATGACGTCCAATAGCAGGGACTTTAATTCTGCCAGACTAGCATTTATTCTTGCTCTTCTTTTCTTCTCCATCACTGGTTTAGAATTCTACAAACACAGGTACTTTTTGTTAAATGTAATGGTTTTGATGTAACTATTTTAATAATATTAATAAAAATAGCCAATTGATTTTCCAAGGGATTTCAAAGTTCATTTCTTTTTTCTTAAAACTTTTAAAATTTGAAAATTCTTACTTTTCGAGTTTCCGATGCAGTGGAGGACACGTCGGAATTCTTTTCAGGACTCTCCATATTGAAACTGATTTCAAACCAGACAACGTCCGTTCGCTTTCGTACTTTTCCTTGAAAGTGTCACTTTTTAAGAAAATTTGCGCATGCTAGGACTCGTGGGAAACCTTAACATAACGAATCTTCTTATTTGTCATTCTTAGTATAGTCCTGCCTTCAGTAGGTAAAGAAAGTGGTGATTGGCTCGTGCGACGGAATTTCTTGGCGTGTGTGTAAAGGTATTTTTAGTGAAGTGTCACTGAAACATCAGGTGAAACGCTTGGCACGCGACCGACCAGATTTGAGACTGTGGGAAAACCCCGCCCCTTTCACCAGCGACAAGCTTACCTGAGTTTCGTTTTCACCTGTATGATATCAGTAGATAATAAACCAAGGGGCAACAGAAGAGCGTGAGAAACGCCAAAACATACACTTACTCGGCACTTGATATATTGGGACTATAAAAAGGCGTACGCCTCGATGGCTACAGATTGAAGGCAAACAAACCTAGAGACGTATACTGGCGCACACTGAAAATGTCAGTCGTAAGCGTGGCGAGATCCCTGCTACATGAATACAAAAGTACTATTATTTTTTCACTTTGTTTCAAGTATTTTAAATTTCAGAGTGAAACAATATACTTTTTATGTCATTATGCTTGAATAGCGATACATTGTGAACAGGGTCACATCTGCTACAACATCAGAAAAGTTAATGCCTGTTAAAATTTAATGTTTTATTTGAAAAAATAGATCAATTATTCAAATATTATTATATAATTTGAAAAAATACAGTTTTAATATATTCGGTTTAAGATTGCGTCATATACAGAAAGGGAAAATTTGCTGCGATTTGCAGGCAACGTTAAAATATTGAAGAAGCATGAAAGGCAAGGTTTAAATTGTTATCGTTGATAAAGTATTTAATTGCACATTAAAAATTCTACTACGTGTAAGAAACAGTTTAGGTGGTTGCAATTTTGTTTATATAATTCCTTTGGAATAATAATAATAATACCAGTAATTATGTAAAAGTGCATCTATGATACTTAAAATGAAAGTTTGGTCAGGCATGAACATGCATGCAAAAATGTATATTACTTGCTATTTGCTTTCATAAATTTTAATTTTATATTCAATCCATGAGGTATATTTCAGAAGAGCAATGAATTGGTTGTGAGTCAAACTTCTTTGGATTTAATACGATGCCATGCTAAAAAAATCGACAGAAGAGCTACAGTTCGCATTTTTAATAAAACAAAATGAATTTTTTATCTAAGAATCACTCACCCACTAGAAATTGTGATATTTTCAACATCCAGCTCAATTATTCTCTTTGCGATACTTCAGATAAGACTGTATAAAACAAGGTCCCATCTCGCAGTTAGTATTGCACGAAAACATCCTCACTGCTCAATGGTCCTTAGTTCCAAGGATGGGACAAAGTAGCCCTCCACCAGCAAGTGGTGATGTCTCCAGATCAGTGAAAAAATCTTGAGGGGGACAGTTAAACAACTGAAAAACAGATCTAGACAAACAAGTAAGACTTTTGTCAATTCAAATTGTGATTTTCTTTTCATACACAAATATTTTAAATATTTGAAAAAAAAACAAGTACTCGGAAGTTGATTTAAAAAGATGCTTGCGATTCTGATTGACAATATCTTATTTAAAAAAAGTTAATGAAACAAGAATATGAAAAAATTCCTTTGAAGTCATTATTTCACCAGTTCTAGGGTCAATATAATGACCTTGTCAGCCACCATAGTATATCATTAAGCATGCTGATGGACATTTTTCATTCTAATTGTTAAATCATTAGTTACAGACTGAATTGTCTACGTATTATCCCGTTTTTTTTCGTGATCATGACAAGCACATGACAGGGCTGCTTACACCTTTATGGTATCTGATCTCACCTCTGATGTTTTATAAGAAGTCTGTTTTTGCTCTGCCCCTGACTTTCAATGTTAAAATGGATTTTTGAGCTTGAAGACTGTTCATTAACTCCATATTTCATTGTATAAAGTGTAGAAAATTCATACACTTTGATTTTTTAAATGTTCAACGATTTTAAATTTTCGATTCATTGTTCTTTTAAGTAACAGCAATTAATATTTTTGTAAAGAGTGAAGATAGCGGCTTGGTAGAGTATTTGATGGACAATGCAATTCAGCTTTTTTGAATGTAATGATAGTTAGGAATCCTGTTTTAGGTGATATTAATTTTATCATATATTATATTCTTTGTTATTATTAAATAATTTAATTTTGTTTGTATTCTAGTCTGTCATTGGTTGATTTCTAAAAAGAAACGCAATTTATTTCTTAATAACCTGATTTGGTATGGGGACACACCCCCTTGAACCAGCTGAATCATCTGTATCCATACAATCCTCTCATTTCCAGTCCTTGGGATTCATGGGAAATTCAAGATTTAATAAATGTACCTTTAACTTCAAACAGTAGCTCGATCTTACCTCGTGTAAACAAACATCATGGCTGCTAGATCTTTGTATCAGTTATTACCTCCCCTTGTTTCATATTACTTCCGTTACTAGGGATGTATTATTGAGCGGCAAATTTAAACTCATAAAAAGCAACACAATTTTACACCCAAAGTTGTTTAATTATTTTAAAAATTAAATTATAAGGAATGACTCTAATTCTTGGCCAAATTATTCGATTATAACCTGGTTTGGGTCAGTTTACACTTTTTTATAATCCGCTTCGCGGATTATAAAGCGTAAACTGACCCAAACCAGGTTATAATCGAATAATTTGGCCAAGAATTAGAGTCATTCCTTAAATAGCCGAAATTTTTGCTTAAAATGTATACTAACTTTTAAGGATATCTAGTTTAATTTGCCGTGTCAGTCAAAAATAGAAGCCGAAGTTTATGATTTAGAAAGATCCGGTTTATGAAGCACATTTTGTGGCCATCACTTTTGATGCTTCACAGAAGAATATTTTCAAGTTTAGAAACTCCAGAGTTGTAAACTTATTTAAGAACCTTAAAAAAGAAATAATCCATTTATGCCTTTGCATTCTTGACCATGTGATCTAGTGATAGCCAATCAGATAGCAGACAACAAGAAAAATAATGATTATGAATATTAATTACTATGTCATATTTGAAAAAATCAAGAGAGGGATAAGATACCAAGGAAGAGTGAGCAAATTTAAAGATGGGCAGCAACAAAATGCTTTTTCTGCTATTTCAAATAAGAGGTTTTGAAGTACTCATTTTTAAAAATACATAAGTAATATTGATAACGGCAAGTAATTCTCTAGAAAGCGTTTTTCTTGTACACCAAAACCAAATAATGCTCTGGTATCTGTTGTTTTGCCTTTTTATATCAGGAAGCCTGACATCAACAGAAGTAGATAAACATTTATACAAATATACTCTATAGGTCTGAAATCAGAAGACATACATAGACATTCATACAAATATATTCTATAGGTCTGAAATCAAAAGACATAGATAGACATTAATACAAATATATTCCATAGATCTGAAATCAGAAGACATAGATAGACATTCATACAAATATTACCTGTAAGTCTACACAATAAATGCTTCGATTATTGCGAAAAATATATTTATTACCTCCACACTGTATAGGATTAAATGCAAAGTCGATTTTAGATTTATATCAAAACTTAACTCAGGCTCATCGTTCAATAAAAGTTTGAGATTTTTTTAAATTTTACCTAAACCTTAATTTTAAAAAAATCTATATAGGGATATTATGATGTAAATGACACTTTCCAGTGTTAGTGGCTGGCTTGTTGCAATTTCACACCCAGTTTGAATAACAAAAATATTATAGCTTTATTTAAAAGATGTATATAATACTTTGAATGACAATGAACATTTGTATTTATGTAGTATTCACTGACCATCTTAAGGAATTAAAAAAACCTAAAAGGCGATTGTTACCCCAATGTTCTTTCTTTGTGTAAACCGAATAAAAGAATTTTGATTTTTAGCACTTTGTTGCGATGAATAAAGAATAATCACGCTTCAAGTTTAATCAGAGGACCTGACTCAGGTAACAAAGATAAACACGCTGAGACCATGAATCATTTTTTAAGATAAAATGATCTTTAGGTAATACGATCGTAAATCTTTCTTCTGTATATCTTTAAAGTTCTCATAGAAATCGGAAGAAAAATAAGACTATTAACGAACCTTCGGCACTTAATTTGTTATTTCCATATATTATTCATTTTAAATGTGCCAGCTAGCTGTGATGATCTAAAGGGGTCCGAAAATTTAATTAATACTTTTGAGGTGGCTGCCTTAAGGGGTAGTGAAACTAAGTTTACACCAAGTTCAACCAATAGGGGTTTGGAAAACATTCGTATTAATATCTCTGTCAGTTTACAAAAAGTATCTACCTGAATTTTTTTGGTTTGTAAAACGCATTTAAAAAGCTTGATCAAGTAAATCATATATTTTTATGGATAATTATTAAGACCGTCTAATATGAATATGAAAAGATACGTATAATGAAAAATTGTCAAATAGTTTAATTTTTTGCCTAAATTCATGATCGACTGACTATTCGTTCGTTATTTAAGAACATAAAATGAAAACTAATTAAATCAAAGCAAAAGTACATGCACAGAACCCCCTGCAGTTTAACTCCGTTGTACCTTTGCAAATTATATTTTCCCACCGAGTCATCATGTGTTCCCACAATCGGGAAAAACCACCAAATTAATCGGTACATACAAAAATACACCACTTAAATTTTATAAGAGAGAAAAGTATATCACTCTAGCTTGTTTAGTACATTGTACCCCATCTGGTCTTTCTGGCTTTAAACATGTACTGAGTATTTATTTGGTTTCATTAACGTCTTTTTCTGATTTCTGATATGATATCACTTATGATATGCTAAATCTTATTGACATTACATGTATCTATGTTGTTTTTGCAGACCAGGTCTTCCAACAATCTTTTTGAATTCCCATGGGTACCAATTGTCCCCATTATTAGCAGACCTTTTTTTGTAATCATATGAAGCAGAATTTGTGCAAAATCTTGTGCGTGAAAAGAAGAAAACACTTGCTGTGGCCTTCAACT